GAAGACTCATATATTCTGAGGTAGGGCTTCTGAAAGGTGATTAGGTTATTGATAAATTCACAGTGAGTAGGCCAATTTTGGAAGTGGATCCTCCTTGGAGGAAGTAGGTCACTGGGTTCACAACCTGGAAGGTACGTTCTTGTCTCCAGACTCTTCTCTCTGTCTCTTCCACACTCTTTCTGCTTCCTGGCTCCCCACACCCATCTGCCAAAATATTTCTGCCTTGGAACCAGCTGTCTGTGGACTGAAACCTTTGAAACCATGAGCCAAAATAATCCTCTCATCCTTGAAATTATGTATGTCAGGTATTTTATCCCAGCAGTGAAAATCTAACTAATACAATAGCTATATGATATTTAGTGACTTAACTAAACTTTCCCATTATAATTCCCTCCTTTCTCCTTTCTTAAAAAGAAAAACTAGTAAGTTTTTTCTCCTGTGTCAGCTGATGTTTAAATACAACTTAGGTAAACTATTCTCCTAAAACTACTCTTTAGCATGCCTGGTTCAGCATCAAAATCCCTTCTCAGTGATTTCTAACTCATAGTAGTGGTTTTCCTTCTTTCACTTATACACAGTATGTTTACTCCCTTTAACAACTGAAGAAAAAAAAAAGGCCAGGGATTTAGCTCAGTGGTGCCAAGCCTGCCTTGCAAGCACAAAGTCCTGAGTTCAATCTCAAGTACTGCAAAAAAGAAAAAAAAATTGAAAAAAAAGTCAGAAGGGAAACAAAGGAAAAACTGGTCTTTGCTGATGGCTAGAAAACTCCTTACCATACTTGCTTTCTCTACTTTTTTATACTGATGCACATATACAAAATAATAAAAACAAGTATTAATTTTTAGCTATTATAATTATTATTTGAAAGCTGTGATGAGTTCTACTTATGTGTCAGATATATATGATGTGTGTGTGGTGCTGGGGATAGAATTCAGACTCTTATACATGCTAGACACACATCTAACCACTGAACTACAACCCTAATAAACATTTATATTTTCAAGCTTTAATACTTCTGAAAGTAATAAAGGAAATCTGAACCCATGGAAAAATATACCATATTCTTACATAGGCTGATGCAACATCATGGAAATTCATGTCTCTTGATGTTAAATGGTACATTTGATATGATCTCAATTAGTAAAGAAAGAAAAAGAATTTTTTGCTTGGCCCCACAAAAGGTTACTCTAAAAATATAGCCAAGAAATTTCTTTAAAAGATTAGTGAAGAAAGACTATTTAGCAGGTATTTGAAAATCTATCTTAAAATAGTTAAAATGCTATGGGAATGGCATGTGGTTACACTGTTATGGCTTAGATCTAGATGTCCCCACAAAGCCTCATACACTCACAGATAAGGCTTGTGGGAGTGACTGGATCATGGGTGTGTGATGCTGGGTTATGGGTGTGATACTGGATTAGTTAACTGATTAGTTTAGCATAATTCTGTGTATGAGTGATAGACTTACTGAAGAGGAAAGACCCACCCTGGGTGTAGGTGCCACCAACCAATAGGCTTATAGCCTGGATGGAATAAAAAAGGAAAGAAGGAAGTCTCACTGTTTCCTACCTACCATGCCACTGTGAACTCTTTCTCCCCTGTCAGGCCCCTCTGCTATGCCACCCTGCCTTGGAGCCAGCTGACTATGGACTGAAACCTCCACAAACCTTGAGCCAAAATAAACCTTTTCTCCTTTAATTTGTGGGTTTCAGGCATTTTGCCCCAGGAACAAGGTAGTAACTAAAATAGTAACATTAAAGCAGTTAAACAGAATAGAAAGTCTAGAAATAGATCAATATACCCAAGAATTTAATATGTGATTAAAAATAGCATTTTAAGTCATTGGAGAAAAAAATAGCCAACAAATAGTACTAAGACAATAAGTTAACCATCTGAAAAAGTTAAATTTATTGATATATGATACCTTATATTGGGATAAATTTTAGAAAAGTAAAATATTTATAGGTAAAATGCAACCATAAATACACTAAAAGAAAGCACAACAGAATTTTTTATGATTCTAGAGTAAAGAATACCTTCTAATTATATGACAAAATTTCAGTAGTCATTAATTATTTTTATAAAATCAGCAAAAATTTATACATGGCAAAAGTAACTTTTATAAAAATAAAAAACAAACCCACACTTACATTACTGCTAAGGTATGAGACTGAGTACAAATACCAAGAGGTAACAGGAAGGAATTCCTTTGTACTGATGGAATGGTTTTACATCTCAGTTGTGTTTCCACAAATCAAAACATGGGATAAAACCTCATAGAATTACACAGTAACAGACATATATGAATATAAAGGTGTTTTTTTAATAAAGTTTTTTTTTTTAAATGTGAAAACTAAATAAGGTCTTTAGACAATTTAACAGTAGTGTCCTAATGTCAATTTCCTGGGGGTTTTTTTGGTTTGTTCTTTATTTTTATGGTACTGGGGATTTAACTCAAAGCCTTCACACTGAGCTATATCTCTGGAACTTTATAATTTTTTTTTTTTTTAAGACAAAGTCTCTAAGCGACTAAGTTGCCCAAGCTGGACTTGAACTTGCTATCCTCCTGTCTCAGCCTCCCAGACTGTTGGGATTACTGGCCTGTGCCACCATGACTAGCTAGTTTCCTGGTTTTGATGTTGTACTACAGCCATGTAAGATGGTACCACTGGGAGAAGCTGCTATGGAATACTTAGGAATCTTTACTATTTTTTCAACTTCACATGAGTCTACCATTATTTCAAAATGAAAGAGTTTTTCAAAATTAATATAAGAATCAGGAAAATTAAATAAAAAACATCAGGAATTGGGAGTAATTTGTTGCCCATGTCATAAAGAAAGAGGTAATTTCTCTAAGATAAAAAGAACTCCTTCAAATCATCAAGAAAAAAGCTAAAAATCAAATCCAAAAAAAAAAAAGATGTAGACTGTTCACATAAAAAAAAACATAAATGGCTCAAAACACATAAGATAATGATAATCCGGAACCTTATAATAAGAGTTTTTGCCAATGACAACTACATAATACATGTTTTTTTTAAAACCTAATAGATTAGTAAAAAGTAATGTCGGGAAAAAAAACCACATTTCTGGGAGGGAAGTAAATTGGTACAAACTTATGCCTGCCAAATGAGAAATGTATATGTCATTTGACCCAATAATTGTGTTTCATAGAATTGAGCCTAAGTTCATTTGCATGTGTGCAAGATTACAAATATAGATTATTCTTTACTATATTGCTATAAGATAAAAAGAGGGGAAGTAAATTACCACAGATGACTAAAGAAATTGTGGTACACCCATACACCCCTCAAAAAAAAAGGTCAAGGAATATTATGTGCACCCTTGTACATAGATCTCCAAGATATATTGTTACATGAAAGAACAAGGATATCAGTGTACCAATTGTGCCTCCATTGTAGAAAGACACTGAGACAACATCATTAGTTAATAAAGTATTTGGAGCTGGGCATGGTGGTGCACACCTGTAGTCCCAGCACTCAGGAGGCTGAGGCAGGAAGATCACTGTGAGTTTGAGGCCAACCTGGGCTACATAATGAGTCCAAGCCCAGCCTGAATCACAGAGTGAGACTTTGAGTAAAAAAAAAAAAAAAAAAACCTATTTGGTTGGTTAGTGGCATAGAGTATACCAGTGCGTAAGCTAATTGATTAGTTCACTAGCTAGGTATCAGGATAGAGTAAAATATATCTAGAAGGACAAATGTAAAACACATAAGAGTTCTTCAGAAGGAATAGATAAGACAGAGATCCTTCTGTAGAGTCTTCAATACATTTTAAGTTTTTAACCATGCAAATATTTTACATATTTTAAATGTTTAAATTAAAAATTAGGGGTATTTCCCAAAAATAGTGAGTGTGTGTCTAATGCATATACTCTAATCTAATAGGGATTATTTTCACTCTCGGAGAAGGCTAAAATCTCTATCAGGAACCCAGTTACACATTAGTCTCTGAAATTTGCACATTGTGAAATCTTTTAGCAGAAGATTTTAATCCTGCCTTATAGACACTCACCTGCAATTAAATTTTCTCCAACAGTATTTCTCAAGCATTTGCATAGTAATTGGAGCAAGTTATTTTAAAACAAATATTTAAATATAAATTTTCATGGAATGATCCTTTCACAGAAAATATTACAATAGTTTTCAGACATAAACTAAGTGAAATTCTTGAGCCTTTGTTTTCTGAATAAAAAGCACATGTTTATTCAATGCAGATGTGACGTGGTGACATTTGCTTGAGGGAAGAAAAATAAAAGTTCCCAAAGACAATTTGAAAAAGTCACCATGTATCTTTTTCTAAAGGAATAATAAACATGGAAAAAGTCTGGCTGCCACTCAAAACTTCAGAGAGGAGAAAATCAAAGGCAGGCCAATGGACATATTAACTAGTAAACCAATATGTTATCCTAAAGAAACCTTCTAGTAATCTCAATAAAATTAAAACCAAACTATACAAGTTTGGCAAGAAAATAATATCTCCATAGAGGGAAATTAAGATTCCCAGCCCTGGCCAGTGCTGACCACATCTTGCCCTTTGGGGCTTCCATGGTGATCATTACATTGTTCTCAACAATGCTGTTGCTTCATCACCTGGATCCTAGTTCAGTTGTAGACACAAACATTTTTTTTCTTTAGGTCCCAGTAGCCAACTAACATGAGATAATGAAGTTAATCAGTTAGACTTTTTAACTGAAGGCTTCCAGATAACAAAGGGAATACAAACATAAAAGTACCACAAAATTGTATATTCCGAACTTCTAGATAGTCCCTGGCTGTCCAAGATTAATATGGGTCCATTTTAAGTTTCCCAAGGAAAGGAAGCATGTTCAGAGAGTATCCAGATTTTCCTCCTTGCTCTCCTTCCCATGGTGTGATCTACTGCTCATCTGTCTTTCAGGACATTACTATGTAGGTGAGCTTGGCTCTGATCCCTCCTCCGAGTCTCTTCTGGGGGTTTGGATTAGGAAACCATGCTACTTAGGGCACCCAGAAGGCCCTGAACAACACCAGTAGCTGCCTGACCATGCCTCGAAGCTTGAGGTTGCTTCTGATAAGGATGAAGGGATGGATAGACAGGCTCAGGTAGACTAAGATCTGCCATGGCCAGTACCACCTACTATCTGAGGTGATAATGACTGTAGCATCAATGACCAGGAAAACGAAAGATAGTGCATAGAGAACAAGGAAGGAGATGAGGGACTTTAGAGCTCTGGTGTGAACCTGGTTGCTGTGACCCTGAGGGTCATGGGCGTTGTTCTGCATTCTCAGGCTGTGTTTCCTCAGAGAACCAATCAACAGCAAAATCGAGACCAGAAAAAGAGAGCACGGAATTGACAACACGACAAGTTTCAGAGGCATGTAATAGCGAATTTCCAGGTTCCTGTTCCATTCTTTCTCAGTCAGGTTTCCAGAAAGTTTGCTCATTAAAAATGATTGATACACAGAGAAGTTCCCCCAAAGGAACAGCAAGGTTACCAAGAGGGAAATGAGGACAGAGCCTAGAAGGAGCCAGGGCACCAATGCTGGGAGCCTCCACTTCAACCAGAAGAAGGCAGGATGGGAGAAGTTAGCAATCTTTACACAGAACAGAACGCTGAGCCAGGCAGCAAACCAGAAGGTGGATGAGTTCAGGAATTCCATTTGCAGAGAAATGAACTGTCGGGCAAGACTCTTGGAGAAGTCAACCAGGTGGAAGGAATAGTAAAAGTTGTACACCAGCCCGAGACACTGATGGCCACAGCGGGAAGCACCTAAGCCAAAGAGAATCATGTCCGAGGGGAGCAGCCTACCACGCCGCAGCCTCTCCCTGCTCAGCATCAGCACGATGAAGCCATTGGCCAGGATCCCCAGGACACACACCAGGACAAAGAGCAATGCAAAGAAGATTGTCAGTGCTGGTTCCATTCTGGCTCCTCCTCTAGTCACTACTACCGATGAGATGTCTTGGTACCTGGACTCCTACCTGTCTCCACCCACAGTTGTTCTGTTTTAAAGCTTTTGCCTAGAAATGCAGCAGAGTGGTCGAGCTCTGCACTTGAGCCAGAGCTCACTGAGAGAGGAGGACACTCATATGAGCAAGAAAAGAGAGCAAGGCTCTCTTGGCTCAGAAAGCATGCAAATCTCCTCTGGGCTCAGTTACCAGATGGCCTTCAGGAGGCCCTGATTTGCCTTCTCTGGTTTTTCCTGAGGACTTTTCAGACTCTATAACTGGGTTCAATCCTTCCTGTTCCACCCCTGGTCCATGTGAATGCTCCTCCTCCCATTATATCATTCTCAAGATACATGATAGATAGATAGATAGATAGATAGATAGATAGATAGATAGATAGGGAGAATACACACACACACACACACACATACATACATACAATTATAGGGAGATTCCTTTGAAAAATAGTGACACTAAAGGCATTTGTCTCAGCTGAGCCTCCCTGTAATATATCCACTCTCATCCACAAGTACTCATCCCTTGAAGGTCAAATACCTTTTTCCACCTTTCCATCCATCTCTAATTAAATTCTTTATGGACCCTGAGGTTTAAATGAAGAGTGATTGTTTAAACTGGTTTTGTCTCCGGTGAAAATAATCATTTGTCATGGTTGTAGGATTGAGGACGTCCCCTGTTTCTGGCTGAGTGTGGGATCAAACCACCCTCAGACTCCATGCATGTCCTCACTGACAGGTGGGCTCTTTAAATGTGGCCACTTACTTTATCAAACCAACATAGGAAGTCTGATAGAAGATGGGGTCAACACAACCAAGAGAATGACATTCTATTACCTTTGCCATATTTTACTGGCTAGAATCAAGTCACAGTCCTCATCAACACTCAAAGGGAGAATAGAAAGGCCCAAAGCCAGGGGGCATTGGACTACCTTATATTTATCTATCATACTGAGATGCCATAGCTTAGAAGGCATATGTATGTCCTGTCTTCTAACATACAACATCAAAAAGATCCCTAAAAGACCATGTAGAACAGTAAGATTGTCTTAACATGGCCACCACCTCACATAGTTACTATTTAAAATTATTTTTGTATGTGAGCCAGATGTGGTGGTACACACCTTTAGTCCCAGCACTCTGGAGGCTGAAGCAGGAGGATCGCTGCAAGTTTGAGACTAGCCTGGGCTACATGGTGAGTTCAAAGCCAGCCTGAACTATGTAGTGAGACCCTATTGCGAAAAAAAAAAATTGTTGTGTGTGTTAAAAACACATTATAGCTAACATTTTAGCAGATATCCAGTATATGATACAGTACTGTTCACAGGACCCCTCCAGTGGTCCAGGCCTCCTGCAAGCCAGTATGACATCTGCGAGACAGGAAAGTGGGAATTAAAAGAAATAGAGACAGGGACTTGAGAGAAACTGAGTCTTGGGCTGATCTAAGCTGCTTTGGGCAGCAAAGACAAAGGACTCCCAGGACATCCAGTGTTTATTCACTACAAATGTGGGAAGGAGGGAGTTGGGCAGGCCTTGGGACACTTGCTGATAACAAATATTAAGCAGGCAGGACTGTAGAATGAGGGCACAAGCATACCTTTGCTGAAGAGAACAGTTAATTCAGAGGGGAAGAATTTAGTTGGGGTCAGTTGACCTTGACTGGGAGTGAACTCAGCCAAGCTCTGCTACTTCCAATGTGACACAGCTGAATTATGGAGGGGCAAGAAGCTTGTGCCATGATAGCCTGCTGATACTGGACAGAAGTGTCTGCTACAACTGTTGACTGTAGTAGCATTGCAGTATGTTTGGCCTCCAGAACTTATTCACTTAGAGCAACTGAAATTTGGTACAACTTGACCAACATCTTGTGATTTTTTTTTTCCCTTCATCCCAGCACAGGTAACTACCATTCTATTCTTCACTTCTATGAGTTTGGTTATTGTAGATTTCACATGTAAGTGAGATCCTGCAGTCTTTCTGTGTGTGGAGTATTTCACTTAGCACGATATCCTCCAGGATCAGCCACATTGTTGCAAACAGCAGTATCTAATTTTTTAAGGCTGAATAATATTCTATTGTGTATATATATCATCTTTTCTTCAGGCATTCACCTGTTAACATTCTTAGATTATTTCCCTCTCTAGCTATCTTGAATAATGCTGCAATGAACACAGGAGGGCAGATGTCTTTTGGGGATAGTGATTTTGTAATGGAAAGCCAATTGGGGGTCACAATGTAATTTATCTTTTTCAAAGGAAGCTAGGGGGCTGTTACATAGCTGATAGAATTGGAGCAGCCAGGATGGAAGAGAACAGTCAGAGGCTATGGCATGTCACCGTATCTTTTACTAAAGGACTCAGAGAATATTATATTTGTGGGAGAAAACTCTGTTTTGGTCATGTTGCATTTAAGATGTCTGTTAGATATCTAAGTTCAGACATGAAGTGAACAAATTGAAATGTAAGTCTGGATCTCAGTGAAGAGCTAAGGCTGGAGTAACAGGTTTGGGAGTCATTAACACTTACATGGTATTTTAAAGTCATTAAAAAGATGAGATCATCTAGAGAAAGAATGTAGATGGAGACAGAGAGGGGGCTGGAAGCAAGTCTTGTGTCTTCAACTTTTGAAGGGGTGAAAACCAATGGATCCAGCAAAGGTGACAATGCCGAAATAAAAATAATGCTGAAGAGATTCTATATCTCCAAGGTGATCTGTACCCAGAAATTATACGCCATGCCCCGAACAAAACACAGGATCTAATGTTTAAGAGGCCCTTAGGTTGCAGGCTAGACCTAGCATGGTAGAATTATCATTCTTGAAGCTGACATCTGTCTTGTGGTTTATTTACTGACAGTCTCAGAAGAGAATGTTTACTTATTATCCCATTCAACAAAATCCATTCATTATTTTATGTTGTCAGACACTAAACCGGGCACATTACAAGATGGTTTCTTGAAAGAAATGCAAGTGGATGTGTAGTTTAATAAATATAAAATAGAGTCACGTGTAAGACGCCGAATCAGCCCGCTGCAGACAGGCAGGTCTGTGCACGCCCTACCGAGGTCCCCAGTCACGCGGAAGACACCGAATCACCCCACTGCAGACAGGCAGCCACCTGATTACACATTAACAAGGCGCAGAGGACACCAGACCACCAGACCAAGGTACTGAGTCCCACTGTTCCAAGCCTAGAGGAAGGGGCTTCCCGGTCACCATCCCTCCCGCTGCTCCCAGCCCAGAGGAAAGGGCTTTTGGGCCACCTTCTGTCCCACTGCTCCTGGCCCAGAGGAAGGGGCTTCTGGGCCACCATCCCTCCCGCTGCTCCCAGCCCAGAGGAAAGGGCTTTTGGGCCACCTTCTGTCCCACTGCTCCTGGCCCAGAGGAAGGGACTTCCAGGCCCAAATCCCTCCCATCACTCCCGGCCCAGAGGTAGGGGCTTCTGAGCTGCCCTCCCACTGCTCCTGGTCCAGAGGAAGGGGCTTCCCGGTCACCATCCTTCCCGCTGCTCCTAGCCCAGAGGAAAGGGCTTTTGGGCCACCTTCTGTCTTGCTGCTCCTGGCCCAGAGGAAGGGGCTTCCAGGCCACCATCCCACTGCTCCTGCTCCAGAGGAAGGGGTTTCCCGGCCACCATCCCTCCGGCTGCTCCCAGCCCACAGGAAAGGGCTTTTGGGTCACCATCCCTGCCGCTGCTCCTGGCCCCTGTCCCACCTCACCCAGCTCAGAGGAGGGAATCCATGCAGGCGCTAACAGCCCCCCACCCCAGTCGAAATGAGAAAACAC